TTTACAAAAACAATAGATTATTGTCTGGGGCTAATTTGTTACATTTAACATGATTCTAATGGAAAATCAATAATGATATTTCCAGCCCCAGACGAAACAAAAATGGTTGCAGCTCAAGTTTAGTAGCGTGTCCTGGACATGTATCATCAATGTTGATACACGTATTTCAAGACAAGTAATAACTGGCACATAGGAGTTCGATCTCCAGTGCAGTGATTAGAACCCAAGAGGGATTTCTTAATTAGGAAGTGTAATTAAAGTAACTGTTTATATATCATTACTGCAAACACATCCATCAAGTAATGAGGAATAAAAATCTAGAAGTATCATTCACACAACTAGCACACCTGGTTTATAATTATGGCATCCTATGTGTCGGACCAATCAAGGATCTGATAGAGGAGCTGACTAAAGTGAACATGAATAACTGAAAGAACTCTGTTCAAAAGATAAACACATGAAACACAACTCACATTTAATTATCCTAAAGGTGCCCTATTTAAGGTCATTTTCTTAAGTGCCTTGGGTGCTAATTATGGCCAATACGATATTACCACATGAGTACCAATGACACAATACCTGTATAGTTTTGCAAGTTAGTTTGTTCTAGGGGATCATACAAACATGGAATGTAACATTAACAAAAGTTTTACTGGCCCACCAAACTCAAAGTTTCTCTGCTGATGGACATAAGATCACCATTCAATAACAAGAGGCCCAATGGGCCTGCATAGCTCACCTGGTATTAATCTCAAACTAATAACCTTAAAAGTGTACCAAAATAAAGCTACATGCAAAATATCAGTATTTATGACTATAAATCATTCAAAATAACCTGTTAACACATTTGACTCCTGTGACTTTGAAAGTCCAACGTGGTAATTACATTGAAAAAAGTTTATAGCCCTTCATCTCAGCATGCAACTTGCCAAATATAACCACCCTGGACCTTTTCTATATTGAGATTATGTCATTTAAATGTGGATACACATGAGCAAATGTTACCTTGAAAGTGGGTCACCATGATTCAAATGAAAAATCTTGATAGCCCGTCATCCTAGCATGTTACTGGCCAAATTTATGGCATTTGGTTATTCAGGATATAATATTTAAAGGGGTTTAAACATATTTGACTCATTTGACCTTGAATATAGGTCAAGGTAATTCATTTGAACAAACTTGTTAGCCCTTCATATGCAAGTATGTTACTGGCCAAATATCCTCACCCTGGGCCTTTTGGTTATTCAGAAGAAGTTGTTTGAATTATTTTAAGATAATTGACCCATGTGACCGTGAAAATGAGCAAAGGTCACTCATTTGAACAAACTTGGTAGCCCTTCAACCCAGCATGTTATTGGCCAAATATCATCCTGGGCCTTCTGGTTATTCAAATGAAGTCGTTAAAAGATTTTAACATATTTGCCCCCTGTGACCTAGAAAATGGGCAGAGGTCATTCATTTTAATAATCTTGGTAGTCCTTCATCCCTGCTTCCTACTGGCCAAATACCATCACCCTAGGCCTCTTGGTTATTGAGAAGTTGTTTAAAGTAAAAAGTTGATGCAGACAGATGGATGACTCACCACAGCATAAGCTCAGTTGGCCCTTTGGGCCAGGTGAGCTTAAAATGATCAGATTACCTACAGTCCAACTACATGTGTTTGATATGATGACACAAATAAGTTTTAATTATTTAAAATGTCTTATACTCAAGTTTGTTATAAACACAAACAAGCCATTCGGATTGATATGTCTCGCCTGTGCCCCACTTTGACCATCAATACACATATCAGAGAAACTAGCTTAAACGCAAAAACTTCATTTTGATGAAGATGCTGACAAAGTCTATGGACCATGAAAGGTAGGCCACATTAGCATTTGATGCATGGGTTGAGATGTAATACCTAAGATGCATCTATGTTCAAAGTTTGGTTGATCTAGCACTTTCAGTGGAACTAAGTTAAACACAAAACGTAATGTTGACGCAGCCGTCGCCGCCGGAAAAGCAACACCTTAGTCCCACTTCCGCTACTTCGTGGCGGCGAGACAAAAAACTGCTTTGTCATAATAAACAAAAAGAATCTGTGGTGAAAAAATGTTTGTTGAGATATTCACCTCCGTGTTTATCTGTGAAACAGACACTGGAGGTCAAAAACAACTTGACGGGCGGAGAGATAAATCCATCACAACTGGTTAATAGCATAAAGAAAAGTTGTTTTTTTTAAAATTTACCTTGTCTTTGTTCATATAAATGATTAAAAGAGTTATGTAGAATTCTTGATTGTTGTATGATAACAATACACAGTTTATGTACAAGAGATCCCAGAGGGATCTTGGCACCCACCATTGTACCATCTTCATTAGTTCTGTCAGTTTGATCTTTTCTCTTCTTTCCTTTAATCTGTTTGATTGAGTCATGTTAACAGTAAATGCACCTTTAGGTAACTTTTGATCTCAACTTAATACTGATGTGTATGAAAGCCAACCTTCAAAGTGAGTTTGTCATTTCACATATTTACTAGTACATTGTACTTAATGTGAAAGAAATAGAATCGATCATTGCAATTTGAGAAAGATCTGTTTAGTTCTTCCTTTAGCCATTTTGGTTTTTTGATCAGTCTCAAAATATAACATGCACAACGAGGGATCAAGAGGAACCTACAGAGTACATTTCAAATTTGAGAAATATCCCTCAAGTTATTCCTGAGAAATAGTACTAACAAACCTTCAATGTCAAAAATCGAAGATGGCTGTAGGTAGGCCATTTTGTTTAACTGATCAGTTTCAAAAGTAAACATGAACAATAAAGGATAGTGGGAAACCTGCATTGGCTGGCCCAAAAAATTTTTTGGGGGGCGAGTAAAAAATTTGAACCACTGGCCCAAATGACATATTGGTGGACCAAATAATTTTGGGAAGAAATATTTCCACACCATTTGACACAATGCTTCAGCACCTTTAAATTACATATAACATGACAATGTTTGTAATATGTAAAACAAAATAAAACATATTTTTAATTCTTCAACCCTAGTTAAAACCTGATAGACTTAATTCTTCAACCCTAGTTAAAACCTGATAGACTTAATTCTTCAACCCTAGTTAAAACCTGATAGACTTAATTCTTCAACCCTAGTTAAAACCTGATAGACTTAATTCTTCAACCCTAGTTAAAACCTGATAGACTTAATTCTTCAACCCTAGTTAAAACCTGATAGACTTAATTCTTCAACCCTAGTTAAAACCTGATAGACTTAATTCTTCAACCCTAGTTAAAACCTGATAGACTTAATTCTTCAACCCTAGTTAAAACCTGATAGACTTAATTCTTCAACCCTAGTTAAAACCTGATAGACTTAATTCTTCAACCCTAGTTAAAACCTGATAGACTTAATTCTTCAACCCTAGTTAAAACCTGATAGACTATGACATGATCCACTCCATTTAGGTCTTAAACTCGCACCTCAAAGAAGACACCCTGGCAGGATTTATATAAAAAATCGGAACAAAAAATTATCACATTTTCTTAATCACGGACAGTTCGATTCAAATCGAAGTAATGACAACTGAAAAATGTACTGCCCCCCATTTAATGTGGAAGGGACCATAATTTCTTTTAATCATTATTTTTTCAACAGAATCTCAAACTATTTTTGTTGGGCCAGTGACTAACTCACTTTTGACAACTTTTAGTAACTCGAGCAAGACTTTAACAGCCATTGGCGAGCAAGCGACCATCCATGTCAGGCACTGCTGCACAACAAGGGAACAAGGGGCACCTACATATAAAGTTTGAGAAAGATCCTCCCGTACTTCCCGAGAAATAGCGATAACAAACTTTCACTATCAAAATCAAAGATGGCTGCCTGTCGGCCATGTTGTTTATCCGATCAGTTTCAAAGGTTGCTCTGCACAGCTAGGGACCAAGGGGAACCTACATGAAAATTTGAAAAAGATCCCTCTGGTACTTCTTGAGAAATATCGATAACAAACCCTTTGGTACTTCTTGAGAAATATCGATAACAAACTTTCACTATCAAAATCCAAGATGGCTACCTGTGCCATGTTATTTATCAGTCTCAAAAGTTGCCCTGCACAGCTTAGGACCAAGGGGAACCTACATATAAAATTTGAGAAAGATCCCTATGGTACTTCTTGAGAAATACCGATAACAAGAATTGTTTCAGGACGGACGACGGACCACGGACGCAGGGTGATTTGAATAGCCCACCATCAGATGATAGTGGGCTAAAAATCGTACAAATCCTAAAACTCAATACATTTCAATAATAACGTATTGATAAAGCGATACCAAGTCTGACAACTGAAAGTCTGAAGCAAATATCATTTCCATTGCTCTTATTTGTAGATATTTCATTTACAGATTCTATTCTTCACAAATCTATAGATAAAACATTTAAGAATTGAATCAGAAAACTGAAACATACGCATATAGAAACAATATTTAATCATGTTGACAATAATCTTAACCAAATTTGTATCAATAATAAACACACCAATGAGAATAAAATGAATCTTACAAAAGCATACTCTGAAATTAAGGAAGAACAGCACCAAGCATCTGTTGAATGGTAGAATAACACAATTTACACCAAATACCAAATCAGGTCAAATCATGGACACTGTATAAACATTGGAACCTATCATGGTAGAAACATTTTACAGTTGGAATATTGAAATCATCATATTCTGGCATTGATTGTAAAATATCAATTTACACTTTTTAACATTGAAACCTCAAATATGACAACATCCTGACACAGGTACTGCCTCAGGTATTACACTGAAACAGTGATTACACCTTTACAGGTATTACACTGAAACAGTTATTACACCTTTACAGGTATAACACTGAAACAGGTATAACACTGATACAGGTATTACACCTTTACAGGTATAACACTGATACAGGTATTACACCTTTACAGGTATTACACCCATACAGGTATAACAATGAAACAGGTATAACACTGAAACAGGTATAACACTGATACAGGTATTATACCTTTACAGGTATAACACTGATACAGGTATTACACCTTTACAGGTATAACACTGATACAGGTATTACACCTTTACATGTATTACACCCATACAGGTATAACACTGAAACAGGTATAACACAGGTATAGCACAGGTATTACACTGATATAGGTATTACACTGATTCAAAGACACATGTATTACTTTGACACAGGCCTCTGATATTCACTCATCATAAAGAAAGCATAATATGTAGGTCAAGTTAAATCTATCTCCACAATCCCTGTTTATAGTTCACCCTACATATTTGATACTACCACTCTAACATACTCTTGTGTAGAGTTCAGTCAGCAACTCTGACCTGACAGTGTAAGGTACCCATTCATGCCCAGTATGTGTCTAGCACATACAGGTATCTGAACATATAAAACACAGGTACAACATTACACAGTCAAATGATATACGTGTACATAAAACAATGTCTCAACCTAACATCATCAAAATACAGCATCATATATGCAGGAAATTTGAAAGACAACGTGATAATTTTTCTAATAAAGACTAATGATTCTTATTTTAGCACTTTGGCAGCAGTCTCTAAGATCACACCAAGCACACTCTCATAATATTTACTCTTTGAGTTCATGATGTCGAGGCAAACACTGAAGTGGTCACAGCCTGGTATAATTCTGACTGTCACATCGCCGTAAATCTCCTTTATCGCCTCTGCTAGCTTGGTCGTAGACGACAAGGGAACAACATAGTCCTCTGTACCATGGATAAGAACTACAGGGGGTAAACTACAAAATAATGGATCAGAGTTACAGGGGGGTAAACTGTACAATAATGGAACAGTCACATGGGGGCAGACTGTTGTCTGTAGAATAATGGGTCATGGTCACAGGGGGTAAACTACTAACTAATGGATCACGGTTATAGGGGGTAACCTACAAAATAATGGATCAGAATTACAGGGGGTAAACTATACAATAATGGATCAGAGTTATAGGGGGGTAAACTACAAAATAATGGATCAAAGTTACAGGGGGGTAAACTGTACAATAATGGATCGGAGTTATAGGGGGTAAACTATACAATTATGGAACAGTCACATGGGGCAGACTGTTGTCTGTAGAATAATGGATCATGGTCATAGGGGGTAAACTATACAATAATGGATCGTAGTTATAGGGGGTAAACTACAAAATAATTAATCAGAGTTACAGGGGGTAAACTACAAAATAATGGATCAGAGTTACAGGGGGGTAAACTACAAAATAATGGATCAGAGCTACAGGGGGGTAAACTGTACAATAATGGAACAGCCACATGGGGCAGACTGTTGTCTGTAGAATAATGGATCATGGTCATAGGGGGTAAACTATACAATAATGGATCGTAGTTATAGGGGGGAAACTACAAAATAATGGATCAGAGTTACAGGGGTAAACGATACAATAATGGATCAGAGTTACAGGGGGTAAACTACAAAATAAAGGATCAGAGTTACAGGGGGCAGACTACAAAATAATGGATCAGAGTTACAGGGGGTAAACTATACAATAATGGATCAGGGTTACAGGGGGTTAACTACAAAATAAAGGATCAGAGTTACAGGGGGTAAACTACAAAATAATGGATCAGAGTTACAGGGAGTAAACTACTAAATAATGGATCAGAGTTACAGGGGGTAAACTACAAAATAATGGATCAGGGTTACAGGGGGTAAACTACTAAATAATGGATCAGAGTTACAGGGGGTTAACTACAAAAAAATGGATCAGAGTTACAGGCGGTAAACTACTAAATAATGGATCAGGGTTACAGGGGGTAAACTACTAAATAATGGATCAGAGTTACAGGGGGTAAACTATACAATAATGGATCAGAGTTACAGGGGGTAAACTACAAAATAATGGATCAGAGTTACAGGAGGTAAACTACAAAATAATGGATCAGAGTTACAGAGGGTAAACTATTGAATAGTCACATGGGCCAGACTGTAGAATAATGGATCAGAGTTACAGGGGGTTAACTACTAAATAATGTATCAGGGTTACAGGGGGTTAACTACAAAAAAATGGATCAGAGTTACAGGCGGTAAACTACTAAATAATGGATCAGGGTTACAGGGGGTAAACTACTAAATAATGTATCAGGGTTACAGGGAGTAAACTACTAAATAATGGATCAGAGTTACAGGGGGTAAACTACTAAATAATGGATCAGAGTTACAGAGGGTAAACTATTGAACAGTCACATGGGGCAGACTGTAGAATAATGGATCACGATCTGGTCACAGGGGAAAGCTATAAAACCAAAGATCACAGTTCCAGGGGAAACTCTATAAAATAATGGATCAAAATTACATGGGTAACTGCAGAACAGAAAATTATTCACCGAGGCAAATAAGAATTCCATTTCACTTTAAACAATTCTAAGAAGAAATTTAGAATATTATATTATAAATATGAACTATCTTGATTTGATATAAACAGCTGAAGTTCTTACTTGACACTGCTGGACAGGGTCCTGACCAGGGAGGAAGGGGAGAAACGGTCAAAGTGCTCATCTCCATACATAGCTCTGGTCATTTTGGACACATCCTCCACACCTCGCATATACTCATGTTCAAAATGGTCACTTATATCATAAACACCAGCAAGTCCTATGACAAAGTTTAAGTAAAATTACCAAATGTTTTTTTCTTTATATTTCATCACAAGTAATAATTCATTAGAACCCTTGTATATTTATCATGACATTTTGATTTATGCTGAATGCCTATGTATCAATGTCATTAGCACAAAGATTGTATATATTATTTGGGCAGTCATGGTAAGGATAAATTCTACTGACTCAAATCTGGATACCTGTTAATAAAAATCACTTATATCTGGGTACCTCTTAATCTAAACCTTACTCATAGCTGCATATATGTACAAGTAATCTTAAATAAAAGTCCAGAAAAAGTAATTGTAGCACCTATCAATGTAAATTCTTTTAAAGATGAACTGGAAAAATCAAGAATGATTCTTCAATTATAGATATTATCCCCCTTGATGGTCACTGGGTAAGGGTACACTCTAGCATGGATGGAGAGGTGGAAGTTGTAGACTGGCAATCTATATTTATTGTGTCAAGGTATAGTTTATGTCAATTGCATTATATGAATTTTTCAGAAACCGCTATTCATTTGTCTTGATAGCTGTAACATGGTTCGGAGTGACCATTTACATTGTATTCTCTTCTCTCTGGGGTAGGTTAATTATACTTCTATGAAGTGAATTGTGCAGGTGTATGTACAATATTTTCCCAGACAAATGTTTTTAACATTTCTGTTAAGTCAAATGGACTTGCCCATCTTTAGCACTTACCCACTACAGCTTTAATGGACTTTCCCATCTCCAATAAAGTTGGATGACCTTCCAACTCCCGGGGTCTGATTGTCACTATCGATTCATTCTCACTGTGTTCCTCCTCTTCTTCCATTTGTTCCCCGACACCTCGGACCTCTTCTTTGACTTCTGTGACCTCCTCCCCACTGACTTCTGTGACCTCCACTCTGACCTCTGTGACCTCAGAAGTATCCTGGCTAACCTGTCTGTCCATGGCACCCCCTTGATTGTCTGGTGCCTCGTCTCTGTCATCATCATCATCCTTGGACTGGCTTCCTGTATCAGCAGACCCCTGTTCAGAGCTATCTCCATTATCTCCCTGGTCCGATTTGACTGATATCATTTCATACATACTAGTAGCACCACTTGATTCCAGTGGGCCCCCCCTTTCCCCATTATCATTGAGTACACAAAATGACCCTGATGAGCCTGAACTTTCATCTAGAGTGTCAATCCTGCTCCTCTTATTGCCATCAAAGTGTGTGTCCTGGAACCTTAGACTCTCCTGCAGCATGAGTTGGGACTGGGTGGTGCCCCCCTGTATCAGCTCATCATGAAGAAGCTCTAGCACAGCCATCATAGAGAGGTGTGCCCCGGCAGAATGTCCAACCAGCATGATTCTATCCTGTTAAAACAGAAAATGCAATCAAAAGGTCCAAAGTGCTTGCATCAATCATCTGAGTTTGTTTGTTATCAGAACTGGACAGAAAGTTTTGAAAATGCTACAACACTTATTCACGACCATGACAGGATGATTTCCAACCAGAGATCGGAATGGACATCATTTTTCTTTTCTTTTTGTACACAGAGAAAGTGATAAGTTTCAGCAATTCCATAATGGTCATCTTTGATATTACATTGAGAAAAAATTATAAAAATATTTTGTTGGGGATAAGGTTGCCATTTTAGATTTCAAATCAGCCTCCAAAATAAAAACAATTGATCAAGGCCATCATATTATCCTTTTGCACATGACTTACTAAATACAACAAGGGTACCGCGGGGCGGAACAATATACGCCCGTCGAATGCCATATAGTGTTATATACTTTCTTACATTGAAATAAGATCTGCATCATTCAAAGAGTGGTTAGCTGACATGCTATAAAAATGTAGGAGAAAATCTCCGGATAAAAAAATCTAAACTGAAATGAACAAAAGGCAATAACTTTTGAAAAAACGTTGAATCAAAATTCTTTTCAAGGAAGTACAAAAACATATCATGATTATTTAGCCTACTAAGTTTTAAAGAAATCTGTCAAAAAATGTGGGAGGAGATCTCTGGACAAAAAATCTAATACTGAAATGAACAAAGGGCAATAACTTTTGCAAAAATTGTTGAATCCAAATTCTTTTCAAGGAAACACATGATTATTTAGCCTACTAAGTAGTTTCAAAGAAATCTGTCAAAAAATGTAGGAGATCTCCGGACAAAAAATCAAATACTGAAATGAACAAAGAGCAATAACTTTTGGAATAATTGGCGAATTAAAATTCCTTTAAGGGAGACACAACTTCATATCATGATTATAATGTATATACCAAGTTTCAAAGAGATCTGTAGAAAAATGTAGGAGGAGATTGCCAGACAAAAATCAAATACTGAAATGAACAAAGGGGAATAACTTTTGTAAAATTGTTGAATCAAAATTCTTTTGTGGGAGACACAACTTCATATCATGATTATAATGTATACCAAGTTTCAAAGAGATCCGTTGAAAAATGTAGGAGGTGATTGCCGGACAAAAATCAAATACTGAAATGAACAAAGGGCAATAACTTTTGGAATAATTGTCGAATCAAAATTCTTTTGTGGGAGACACAACTTCATATCATGATTATAATGTATACCAAGTTTCAAAGAGATCCGTTGAAAAATGTAGGAGGTAATTGCCGGACAAAAATCAAATACTGAAATGAACAAAGGGCAATAACTTTTGGAATAATTGTTGAATCAAAATTCTTTTGTGGGAGACACAACTTCATATCATGATTATAATGTATACCAAGTTTCAAAGAGATCCGTTGAAAAATGTAGGAGGTAATTGCCGGACAAAAATCAAATACTGAAATGAACAAAGGGCAATAACTTTTGGAATAATTGTTGAATCAAAATTCTTTTGTGGGAGACACAACTTCATATCATGATTATAATGTATACCAAGTTTCAAAGAGATCGATCGAAAAATGTAGGAGGAGATTGCCGGACAAACAAAAGTTAACGCCTGCCGGCCGGACAACGCCATACCATAAAACTCCCGTCAAATTTGATGGGCGTATAAAAATTAACTCCAACTGTTCCAGTGATGATTCATATTGAACAAGTTACATTTAAGTGGTCTGCCAAGGAAACATGCCCTATTTCTCCAATTTCACATCATTCCTCTGACCCATTGAGGATCATGGTTTGGTTTAATTTGGTTTGACGTCCTATTAACAGCTAAGTTCATTTGATTCCATGTGTGTGTGTATGCAGGAGACAGCGTATGCTTGCCTCCTTGTAATAGTACGGATCTGATGCCGACTTTATAGTGCTATCTCACTGAAATGCCATGCCGAAGGCACCAAGCACAGCATTCCGCCAAGTCACTTATACTGGCAATGGGTGAACCAGTTGTTGCCATTCCCCTTACTGCTGAACGTTAAGCAGGGAAAAACAACCACTATTTTTAAGGACTGTGGTATGTCCCGGCCTGGGGACAGAACCCAATGCCTTCCTCACCTGGGCGAACACTCAACATTCAAGCAAAAAGTGAGGTGTTGCCAAGCAAGGCGCTAAGAAAGAAAAGGTAGTTAGAAGCAGAAAGAAAGAAAAAGATCCCAAATATTGCAATGGGCGCAACAGATTTATTTTGGTCGTCTTTGTGTCTGCAAATAGCGTACACCAAAGCAAATCCCCAATTCTGCAGGGGGTTTCAACATTAGTCGCCTCCTACGATAGATGCAGTGGGTAACAGCAGGTGAATTCTTTTCCCAATCTATCTGCCACCTGCAAGGGTGCATGGAGGATCAAGCTCTTTGTATATATACAAAATTTACCTCTACCCATTAATGCTACAATGTGTACATACCAAATACAGACCAAATCTATTCACTCATATTCAAAGAGCGCTCTTGTAAACTTATAATTTTTACCTGTACCAGCCTGTTTGTTTTGACTTACAGTGATGAGGACCTACCTTGTCTCCTCCATACATCTCTATGTTCTGGTTAATTTTTTCCTGTACCAGCCTGTTTGTTTTGACTTACAGTGATGAGGACCTAGCTTGTCTCCACCATACATCTCTATGTTCTGGTTAATTTTTACCTGTACAGGCCTGTTTGTTTTTACTTACAGTGATGATGACCTACCTTGTCTCCACCATACATCTCTATGTTCTGGTTAATTTTTACCTGTACCAGCTTGTTTGTTTTGACTTACAGTGATGATGACCTACCTTGTCTGCTCCATACATCTCTATGTTCTGGTTAATTTTTACCTGTCCCAGCCTGTTTGTTTTGACTTACAGTGATGAGGACCTAGCTTGTCTCCACCATACATCTCTATGTTCTGGTTAATTTTTACCTGTACCAGCCTGTTTGTTTTGACTTCCAGGGATGATGACCTACCTTGTCTCCTCCATACATCTCTATGTTCTGGTATGCCCATGACACACAGTCCACCACATCCTGAACCATATCATCCACATAGCCCTGAAAACATTCACCCATGTGAAAATTATTGTTAATCTCACAGATTTGGTCTCAAAGAAATCTAGCATGTATGTAAATAGTAGTGCTTTACACCAAAAACTCCTGCATTGAGGCCCCAAACCTCACTCAAGCCTAAGTCACATTAACTTCAATTAGATAATTTTGAGTCTCCTGGCCTCAGCAATGCCCTACATCTTTATTCCACTCAGCCAGGCTTGACTATCAGCACTTATGAATGATATTTGATTATGGAATGACATAATTCACTTGTCTACCCAAATGTATACATAATCATTCAAGTCTACCAAACAGTGTAAACAAAAGATCATTCTAGTTTAACCAGCTTCATAAATGATCCTTTTAGTCAACTAGACCACGTAAATGATCATTCCAGTTTTCACAACTGTATAATTTTCATACTAGTTTACCCAACTGTATAAATTACCATACTAGCTTATCCAACCATGTCAATTACCCTGCTTTAATCTACCCAGCTGTACAAAGGATCATTCTAGTCTACCCAGCTGTATAAATGATCATTCTAGTTTAACCAACTGTATGTGTGAATGATTCTTTTTGTCTACCCAATTATATAAATTTTCATACTAGTTCACCCAACTGTATAAATGATCATTCTAATCTGTCCAATTGAATTCTGTTTGATAAAATTCAATTCCAGCAAAACACAGAAAAAGAATAGATGAAACTATGACATTTTATATTATTTTCTTGTAAAATATGTCATTTTACAATTGTATTTCTCCCACATTTATTGAAATTTTGAAACATTTTCTGACCCATGAAAATAAAAGGCTGGCAAGCACGGTATTAAAAATGATATTAACTCATTCACACCTGAAGACACATTTGAACCCTTCCAATTCAAAGGTTGGAATAGTTCATTATGAAATCTCAGGGGTGAATGAGTTAAAAGAGAAACATAAAAATAGTAGATATTTAAAAAATATGTTCATTTCTGAAAGAATGTTTTCCTACGTTTATTAGTTTTCACCTTCCTTTTGACTGGGGAAATTTGATGAATAACAGCTCCAAACAAAACATAGGAAACAGTGTATACAGTCACAGCACGAAGTGGTGCCTACCTGAGGGTAGATAGAGTAGTTAGGACAACACACCAAAACCTGGAGTCTATTGGCAAGCTCGGAACACACCAAACCATACATATTCTTGTCTCCCGAGCTCCACGCTCCTCCATACACAAACACAAGGACGGGGTGGGGTCTAGCAGGCTGTAGTCCTCTCATACCAGGCAGGTACAAATCTAGGTTACGGTTGTTTCTTCCAAATACAAAGTTCTACAAAGCAAGATCATCATTAATACATAAGTATGGATATATTATCAATATTTTAATGAAATAGCATAAAGCATCCTCAGTCCCAGAGGGAAAATTGCACTTAAGGTCATAGGAGTGTATTGATAAACGGAAATAGGAAGTTCATCCCTAGTTGAAAATCCAATGTAAGGAGACAGTTTCACAATTTCCGAATATTCAAATGTTTAATATATATTAAAATGATGAATATTGTATGTTTATTATTGACAGGACAGTGTGTTCTCTCAATATTAAAGTATTTCAAAGCAATCCAGCCATTAATTCAGGTTTTTTTTTATCAATGAGTCACATGTGTCCATTTTTCTGTACTTCAGGAAACTGGCTACCTATTTTACTACTGTGAAGTTTTTCAAGAAAGATAACTCTTACATGCAATTACTATGGGTATATGTTTTTATTATAAAATGTCAATTTTTAATCATTTATAGATAATTGATTTTACACAATTTCAGCATTTATTAAATTGATATACATTAATGCAATACTAATCTATGTCAGTATCATTTTTGTTGACATTATTTTGCAAAAAATTGTGTCTTTTTTTCTCTCTTCAAAATTCACTCCTTTTTACATAAATTTCCATTTAAAATCCTTAAAATTCAGACAACCTATATTTTTTTGTGGCATAACATTTTCTTCACTTCAAAGCAATATAACTACAAAATTTGAAGAAATTCTACCAAGAAATGGTGACACAATCCCATTACCTTATGCTTATTTATCCCTGGGGTAAATAATTATATAAGCATAAGCGTGATTTTCCCCTGGGATCAAGGAAGGGCATAATTATAGATGCTTTTCTGGTATTTTTTTTTCTTTTCAATTGTTCTAAATATGAGTCTTCCTGTTTTATTATAGGAACAACAAGTCCAAACCATACCTTACCTTATGTATTTTAGATAAATCTGCTGAGCTGTAAAACATCTTCCATTGTATGTAACGAGGAAAGTAGCGTAATGTAACTACAAGTTTTTGAAGCACAGCGTAGTTCAATGCATACACTTTTTTAGGATGGAAGGCTCTTCGGAACTTGTGTCTGGTTTGTGGCCATCCATTGAGAATATTACACAGGAGAGAAATGGTGTAGGGTAGGACAACAGCACTTGATGCCAACACCATCACACACTTCACCACATTACGTAGCATCCTGGACATCTACTTTACTAGTCTGAAACATGTATAGAAGATACAAAACATTAAATCAGAAAATAGTCTTTTGGGACATTAATGACATTAGTTGCTTAGATTTAAATTTTGTACTGCTGTATCTATTTATACAATGAACAGCTACTATAGCTACTGATCCAACTGGTAATTAAACAGTTAACAGCTACTATAGCTACTGATCCTACTGGCAATTGAACAGTTAACAGCTACTATAGCTACTGATCCTACTTGTAATTAAACAGTTAACAGCTACTATAGCTACTGATCCTACTGGCAATTGAACAGTTAACAGCTACTATAGCTACTGATCCTACTTGTAATTAAACAGTTAACAGCTACTATAGCTACTCATCCAACTGGTAATTAAACAGTTAACAGCTACTATAGCTACTGATCCTACTGGCAATTGAACAGTTAACATCTACTATAGCTACTGATCCTACTGGTAATTAAACGGTTAACAGCTACTATAGCTACTGATCCTACTGGCAATTGAACAGTTAACAGCTACAATAGCTACTAATCCTACTGGTAATCAAACAGTTAACAGCTACAATAGCTACTGATCCTACTGGTAATTAAACAGTTAACAGCTACTATAGCTACTGATCCTACTTGTAATTAAACAGTTAACAGCTACTATAGCTACTGATCCTACTGGTAATTAAACAGTTAACAGATACTATAGCTACTGATCCTACTGGTAATTAAACGGTTAACAGCTACTATAGCTACTGATCCTACTGGTAATTAAACAGTTAACAGATACTATAGCTACTGATCCTACTGGTAATTAAACGGTTAACAGCTACTATAGCTACTGATCCTACTGGCAATTGAACAGTTAACAGCTACAATAGCTACTAATCCTACTGGTAATCAAACAGTTAACAGCTACAATAGCTACTGATCCTACTGGTAATTAAACAGTTAACAGATACTATAGCTACTGATCCTACTGGTAATTAAACAGTTAACAGATACTATAGCTACTGATCCTACTGGTAATTAAACGGTTAACAGCTACTATAGCTACTGATCCTACTGGCAATTGAACAGTTAACAGCTACTATAGCTACTGATCCTACTGGCAATTGAACAGTTAACAGCTACTATAGCTACTGATCCTACTTGTAATTAAACAGTTAACAGCTACTATAGCTACTCATCCAACTGGTAATTAAACAGTTAACAGCTACTATAGCTACTGATTCTACTGGTAATTAAACAGCTAACAGCTACTATAGCTACTGATCCTACTGGTAATTAAACGGTTAACAGCTACTATAGCTACTGATCCTACTGGTAATTAAACAGTTAACAGATACTATAGCTACTGATCCTACTGGTAATTAAACGGTTAACAGCTACTATAGCTACTGATCCTACTGGCAATTGAACAGTTAACAGCTACTATAGCTACTGATCCTACTGGCAATTGAACAGTTAACAGCTACTATAGCTACTGATCCTACTTGTAATTAAACAGTTAACAGCTACTATAGCTACTCATCCAACTGGTAATTAAACAGTTAACAGCTACTATAGCTACTGATTCTACTGGTAATTAAACAGTTAACAGCTACTATAACTACTGATTCTACTGGTAATTAAACAGTTAACAGCTACTATAACTACTGATTCTACTGGTAATTAAACAGTTAACAACTACTATAGCTACTGATCCTACTGGTAATTAAACGGTTAACAGCTACTATAGCTACTGATCCTACTGGCAATTGAACAGTTAACAGCTACTATAGCTACTGATCCTACTGGCAATTGAACAGTTAACAGCTACAATAGCTACTAATCCTACTGGTAATCAAACAGTTAACAGCTACAATAGCTACTGATCCTACTGGTAATTAAACAGTTAACAGATACTATAGCTACTGATCCTACTGGTAATTAAACGGTTAACAGCTACTATAGCTACTGATCCTACTGGCAATTGAACAGTTAACAGCTACAATAGCTACTAATCCTACTGGTAATCAAACAGTTAACAGCTACAATAGCTACTGATCCTACTGGTAATTAAACAGTTAACAGATACTATAGCTACTGATCCTACTGGTAATTAAACGGTTAACAGCTACTATAGCTACTGATCCTACTGGCAATTGAACAGTTAACAGCTACTATAGCTACTGATCCTACTGGCAATTGAACAGTTAACATCTACTATAGCTACTGATCCTACTGGTAATTAAACGGTTAACAGCTACTATAGCTACTGATCCTACTGGCAATTGAACAGTTAACAGCTACTATAGCTACTGATCCTACTGGCAATTGAACAGTTAACATCTACTATAGCTACTGATCCTACTGGTAATTAAACGGTTAACAGCTACTATAGCTACTGATCCTACTGGCAATTGAACAGTTAACATCTACTATAGCTACTGATCCTACTGGTAATTAAACGGTTAACAGCTACTATAGCTACTGATCCTACTGGCAATTGAACAGTTAACAGCTACTATAGCTACTGATCCTACTTGTAATTAAACAGTTAACAGCTACTATAGCTACTGATATTATATGTTACAAACTCGGATTGCTGGTGACCAGGCACTGTCCACAGTTACAAACTCGGATTGCTGGTGACCAGGCAGTGGCCACAGCTACAAATTCGGATTGCTGGTGACCAGGCTTCACAAACTCGGATTGCTGGTGACCAGGCAGTATCCACAGCTACAAACGCAGATTGCTGGTGACCAGGCAGTGTCCACAGCTACAAATTCGGATTGCTGGTGACCAGGCAGTGTCCGCAGCTACAAATTTGGATTGCTGGTGACCAGGCAGTGTCCACAGCTACAAACTCAGATTGCTGGTGACCAGGCAGTATCCACAGCTACAAACTCAGATTGCTGGTGACCAGGCAGTGTACGCAGTCACAAAGTCCTTGTATTGCTGTTACATTAGGCTCCCCATTAAATATACCCACAGAAAGTGGTATAGGGTTTCGTGCATCTTTAGGGTATAAAAACTTTGTTGAATGAGGGAAGAATGTTAGCGGGACTGGAATGGGTCAACTGTCAGTGACCAGGTACATCTGTAGCTCAATTGATAAGAGTTCCAAGGTCCCAGATTGTTAAAAATGGTATTCTTATAAGTACAGGGCTACTGGGATGGCAGTAGTAAGTAAAAGAAAGTGGTAGTGATACATTGTTTATATGGTAATTAGTTTGTAGACAGTTTCGTTAACATTTGTGGTATTGAAAGCTACACATGTACCAGTGTACAAAAATCCTACCATCGAATGTCATTTTTCAGGCAAAAATAACAAACTTTTCAAAAACGTTTCACCAATCACGATACTTCTCTTTAAGGTGACATTACCCAAATCGGATCACCAAACCATCATTTTATTCATTCATTTAAAAATGGTAGGAGGATTTATATTCATTCATGGTTGTATCAAAGGAAGAATATCTATGGGTGTTCTTACAAACGAAATTAGCACCCGGGGCTCACTTGCAGATATTTATAGAATGCTCTGAAGTCACCAATCAGCGTTTCCGGTTTTTGTGAATGTCAGGAACCAAATCAGAGCAAGGCTTGAATTTTGCAGTAAATTACACTTCAAACAAATATTTTTTTGTCAGCCTATTAACATTTTATGATGACCTTTAGAATTTATACGACAAAAGTTTCTATAGTGTGAATTTATTCCTATAACGTTATTTTATAAAAACGTAATAAAAACGCTGACATTTGAGTTTGAATTACGTTTTCTGGTGCTATTTGAACTTAAAAACTAATCATCTGTAGACAAAAAATCAGGTGTATGGCTATCTATTCTAAGGTAACATCATTGTAATTAAACTGATTTGATTTATAAGTATTTGTGCAAAAAGTGATCCGATTTGGGTACTGCCTCCTTATAATTACTTGATTCATGAAATGCTCCCACCGCTCTTTTTTTTTAGTCAACAATGATGTGCCCTCAACATCAAATTTCCTACACTAACCAGGTCCAGTACACTCTGCCGATTGAGCTATTATTCTATTATGGCCTTTAACGGCGAGGGCACTATACCTCTCCAGACAACACTATAAGAGAACTGTTCCCGAGGGAAAGGGCCATAATAGATTTAGTACATCACATGGCTGTCATTTGACAACAAAAAGACAAACACGAGGAACTTCATTGATAACATATTTAATAAATAACAACAAATGGCAATGAGATAAATTTTTGAGTAGATCTCTCCTTTTTTGTTGCATATTCAATTCACTGGATTGAATCACCGCTAGGTCACATACGGTTTCCCTTTCCAGTAAGAAGTCTTTAAGGACTGCAAAGTCAAATGGTGTTGCCTGCTTTGTCTTTATGCATTACTTGGCCTCTGCAAAGCAATCGGCATTCCTGGTCCCGAAATTCGAAGCCATTTTGACAGACGACAACAATGAAGTGAAAGTACAATATATACAACGCCCCCTACAAGAAGGGGTGCAACTCTTAGCGTCACGCTACTTTTCCCGCAGTCTAAGCGGTCCAAAAAAAGGTATAGTGCCCGTCTCCAGGTATAGTTCCTGTTGTCAAGGGCGGATGCTAACTATACCAAATAGAACAAGGGTAGTTATCCATGGCTATCCTAGAAATTATCATGTGATGTACTAAATAGCTATAAAGACCTATATAGCTATAGTTGTATTGAGCAATAATTTCTCAGATTTCAATTTTCATTAAATGAAAGCAAAGTTGCATAAAACAATAAGGTTTATGGTATTGTTGACTAAAAAAAGTATACATTTAGATGTTTATTTTCATTTTTCATAAATGTAAAATTTCCGATTTTCTTACCTAATCAACCTTAACCTATATAATGATAAAAAAATTTTTTTTAAAAGCTTCTCTGTTTCGTTTTCCTTTAAAAAGAAAATCACATGAAAATAGCTCGAAAGACCTATTTCAGATAAGTCAATAGAGCTATTATAGGTCTTTACAGCTATAGACCTATACTATCATGTCCAGTACACTCTGCCGATTGAGCTATATAGCTGTAAAGACCTATAATAGCTCTATTGACCTATCTGAAATAGGTCTTTTGAGCTATTTTCAAGTGATTTTCTTTTTTAAGGAAAACGGAACAAAGTCACATTTAAAAGAAGATTGTATCAATAGGTTGATAACAAAAGACATTAAATATGAGTATTCTTTTTAAAAAATAATGATGAAAAGAAATCGGAAATTTTACATTTATGAAAAATGAAAATAAACATCTAAATGTATACTCTTTGTAGTCAACATTACCATTAACCTTATTGTTTTATGCGACTTTGCTTTAATTCAATGAAATGTGAAATCTGAGAAAATGTAGCTATAATTTATAGGTGTATATAGCTCAATCGGCAGAGTGTACTGGACCTGAATATAGCTCAATCGGCAGAGTGTACTGGACCTGCTAACATGCCGGGATGAATCACCTAACACGATAACTGCCTCCATCCGTCTTCATTTTGCAGAAAATCATGAGCAGACAACAAATGTCCTCAACTGAAAATATCTGCATGTGCCCGGAAGAAAGATCTCATAAAAATGTAGTATGCAACCGCATACAAATTCCAATGGGAAGACAATGACATTCATATTGGATAGCGGGTGGTAATATCGGAGATGCAACAGCTAACATTTAATACGACACCCCTAAATTGATTAATGGAAAAGTACATGATCATTCATTGCATACAATAATTAAAACTACAAACCCTTATATTATTTTATCACGCCAGGACAACGGTATGAATCTGTGCAACGTATCCTCTCGCAATCCTTTTCAGGAGGCGGCCATTAGTGTAAAGTTGGAAATTTATTTTCGTATTTTTTTCAGCAGGTATTAAGGAGCCACAAGCGTCAGTTTTCAATTTAAATGGAACACATAACTCGGCAAAAATCTACTTAGTTCGTAAATTTGACAGATACACAGATTTATTCTGACTAGGAAATTGTACAATTTCCTCTGCTGTCAGTTACAATAGTACATGTTGGTTAAACATATTAATAACATGATTTCTGAGTATTTTTTGCGAGTCCATTTAAATTACAGATAGCTGCACAGTTCCATAGAGAACAGATGTCCAATGATATGTAAATATATTACAGTAACATTTTGAATTGAATGAGTGTGGTTCAAAAATAAAAATGTTGGATCGCAATTTTTAAATGTTCAAATGTGATATTTTCGTTAAAGTTCAATCAATGACCATTAGTATGTGTGACTTCAATGGCTTCCCTGTGGTCTTTACACAAGTGGCTGGTTCTTCCAATGACGGTCATTAGGCTATGTTCAAATGCTCGGACTGTTCGTGACTAATAGAATCTTTCACTCCCTTAGAGGTTAGACAGGGTAATCTCAAGCCTCGTGTTTGACAACTTAAGAATCTTACCCGAGGGTTGAGATCACCCTGTCTCACTCTCAAGGGGGTGAATGATTATTTTTCTGTTACTGTTTACCCTCTTATGTATTTTATATAGACGTTACATCAATGCAAGACAATGTTGATGTGATGCGGCTGAATTGTCGACGTGACGTCATTGTATTATTGCCGTGACGTCATGGTATTGTTGCTATGACGTCATACAATTGTTGAGAACGTGCAAAGAACACGTGTAGCTTGTCTCAACCCTAGGGTGAGATTAATAGAATCTTTCACCCCCTTGGGGGTGAGATAGGAGAACCTCAACCCGAGGGGGAGGATTCTTAAGTTGCCAAACACGAGGCTTTGCCGAGTGTTTGGCAACTAAAGAATCTTCCCCCGAGGGTTGAGATTCCACTATCTCACCCCCAAGGGGGTGAATGATTCTTTTTCTCGTGCCCTGTTCTTTCATTGTGTATCATATGCACAATGTAATGATAACGTTACATGCTAAATTCAGGGTTGACGTGACGTTGATGGATTGTTGACGTGACGTCATTGTATTGTTAAAGTGACGTCATGCCATTGTTAGGAATAGGGGAATCCCCCCGTCTCAACCCTAGGGTGAGACTAATATAATCTTTCACCCCCCTTGGGGGTGAGATAGGAGAATCTCAACCCGCGGGGGAAAGATTCTTAAGTTGCCAAACACGAAGCTTTGCCGAGTGTTTGGCAACTTAAGAATCTTTCCCCGAGGGTTGAGATTCCCCTATCTCACCCACAAGGGGGAGAATGATTTTTTTTCTCTTACCCTGTTCTACCATTGTGTATCATATACACAATGTAATGATAACGTTACATGCTAAATTCAGGGTTGACGTGACGTTGATGGATTGTTGACGTGACGTCATTGTATTGTTAAAGTGACGTCATGCCATTGTTATGAAAAGGGGAATCCACCCGTCTCAACCCTAGGGTGATACAAGGAAATCTCACACCGGTAAAAGTGAGGATACACCTGTCCAGGGTAAGAGAAAAGGAAATTTCACACCGGTAAAAATGCGGATACACCTGTCCAGGGTAAGAGAAAAGAAAATCTCACACCGGTAAAATGGTGGATATCCCTGTCCAGGGTAAGAGAAATTACGACCTCCGATGACAGGCCGTTTAGTTCCATATATCCACGGTTCGGTGAAGGAATGAGTGTTTCCGGATATTCAGGCGCGTTCTTTGTTTGAATAATTTGAGTTCATGTCCTCTGGTTGTGGTGGTGATGGTGTTCTTGTTAGGTGTGATGAAAGTCGACACCTCGGGATCATACTTTTCGGTCATGATTTTGTAAAGTTCTATCATGTCTCCTCTGGCTCTTCGATATGCCAATGTTGGTAATTTCAGGCGTTGAAGTCTCTCGGGGTAGGATAGATTAGCCATTCCGGGTATTAGCTTGGTAGCTCTCCTTTGTACATTTTCTATCGATTCTATCTGTTTAATGAGATGGGGGCTCCAGACTTCAGTGGTTGGCATACTCTAGATGTGGTCTCACGAGTCCTTTGTATAAAGCTGTGAATGTTGTCAGATCCATGTATTCCATAGTACGCCTTATTACACCCATTATAGAGTTGGCTTTGTTGATTATTTCAGATATATGTACATTAAATGCTAATTTATTTTCAATGGTGACTCCAATATCTTTCTCATGTTCTGTATAGGGAAGTTCCTTTCCATCATCTAGGTTGTAGGTGAAGTTGTCAATATCACTGTTGCCAATTCGCATTGCTTTGCATTTGTCTGGGTGGAAAAATAGAAGCCACTTTTTGTTCCATGATTGAGCTTTCAGCAGGTCTTCCTGTAGGCCCTCGCAATCTTGGGTGTTAAATAAAGGGTATGTGTTGGTTTCCGTACTTGTTACATTCGGGAGGTCATTTATGTACAGGACAAATAGGACTGGTCTTAGGACGGATCCTTGTCGAATACCACTGCTCACCTCCTTCCAACATGACGTGTCTCCATTTATTGTTACGCGTTGTTTGCGATTTAGAAGAAAGGCTTTAATACAGCTCGTGATTTTATCCGTAAATCCGTTCATGCTCATTGTATGGACGAGTTGGTGGTGAGGGACCTTGTCAAATGCTTTCATAAAGTCACAGTACAGCACATCAATGCATCCTCCTGCATCATCCAGTGGTTAATTACTTGAATTAATTGTAATACAGTGGATCTTCCTTGGATAAACACAAATTGTTTCTTGCTGAATAATTTATTGGTATGCATGTATTTGATTATTGTTTCTCTTACAATCGTTTCTAATACTTTGCAACATATACACGTTAAACTGATGGGTATATAGTTACTGACCGATTTACAATCTCCCTTTTTAAAAATGGCGGTGACACTTGCTTGTCTCCATTCTTCGGGAACGGTTCCATTGTGTATTGAAGCGTTAAAGATAATTGACAATGGCAGACAAATAGCAGAGCTCAGTTCCTTTAGCACTCGCGGGTGAAGGTTGTCTGGGCCTTGGGACTTTGATGTTTTGAGCTTTTCCAATGTTTTGAATACAATATTGGGGTTTATCATTATGTTATCTATTGTTTCATCTGTTATACGGTCAATCTGGGGCATGTTCTCCTCGGTTTCCTCTGTAAATACTGATGTGAACAAATTGGCCAACACCTCAGCTTTTTCTTTGTCGGTTGTTGTGACTTGCTGATCTTGTCCGGTATATAAATCTGATACTTTGGTTCGTGTTTTGGTTTTAGATTGAACATAGTTCCAGATCTTTTTGGGGTTGTTTTTAACTTCAATAGCGATTTGTTTTTCGTGAGATTTTGTTGCCTTTCTAGTCATTGTTCTTACTTGGTTCCGTATGTGGCAATATTCATTGTATGTTTCTGCACTTCTTGTGTTTAAGTATCTAGTCCATAGCCGTTGTTTACGCTTTATTTTTGTAAGTGTTTTTCTGTCTAGTGGGATCACCTGACGCTCTTTCTGATGGGCGTTGGTCGATCTTCGAATTGGGATACAGGCATCAATGGATGCTTTTAGTTTATCTCGAAAAAGTGTCCACTGCAGGTCCACGTCTCCTGCTAGTGGTTGTAGTTCTTCTTCCCAGTGGATAGCCATCATTTCCTCTTTCATACGTTCGTAGTTTCCTTTCTCGTACATATATCTGTTCTTTTCTGCTGTTGTATAGACGTTCATCTTAAATTGTATGACAGAGTGGTCACTTTTGCCAATAGGATCTTGAATTTCTAAATCACTGACCATCCCTTCCTCGTTGGAGAACACCAGATCTAGTACGTTTGGTTTATCCTGCTCTCGTCCTCTTGTTGGGCTTCCGACGTGTTGATGTAGAAAGCAGTATCGAGTGGTTTCCCCAAATTTGAATTCAAAACTGTATTCCTCATTTCGTGGTGTTGTTCTCCCAGTCCATTCCGGGTAGATTGTAGTCTCCTACTAGTATCACGTGTGTATAATTTTTGTTGCATGCAGCTGTAATTGCATCACACATTGCCTGAAAGTTTTCTGTTGTGCTGTTTGGGCTCCTGTATATACTGCCTATAAGTAGAGTATCGGATGTTCCCAGTTTAATTTCGCAGAATATTACCTCGTTAAATATCTCCCCTATATTGCATTGTAGATATTTCATAGAGTTGTGCATGTACATAAGCATGTCTCTACCTGGCGAGTCTTTACACATGTTTAAAGGTATAGTTTCATAACCATCCAAGTTGTATTCACTTAGAACAAAATCTCTTTTAAATGATTTAGGTTTGACTTCTTGTATAATTATAATCATCGGAGTATTGTCTTTAATTCAAAGTTTTAGCTCTTGTAGTTTAATTTGCATTAGAGTATCGGCATTAGTGAACAAAACTTGTATGTCTTTGACTCTGGTAGGCGATTTGGGGGACCCTTCTTTGTCTATTATTCTTTTTTTAGTTTGACAATTCTCCTTGCCCAAGGTGGGCCTCGGACCTTGTATGTATATTCCCCCTGTTCCGATGCTGTTTTTTGTTTGGCTTCATTCCATAATTCTTTCTCCTTTTCTCTTTCCGCTCTTGTTAAATCATTACTTATACGGATGTTCTCAAAATCCGCATTTTCCCTTAAATGCCTTATGTTTTTAAAAAGGTCTCTTTTCATGTCCTGACTATCCATCGCTACAAGGATTGGTCTTTGGGACGTTTCTCCTTCCTTAGGTTTTGTGTGTTTCCCGAGTCTTGTGACTCTGATGTTGTTTCCATCCGTGACTACCTTGCATGCGCTAAGAATTTTCTTAGCGAGGTCGACATCGTGCTCCTTTCTTGCCGTTCCATCTTCCGTGTTGCATTCTGTGATGCCGTGAACTATAATGTTGTTCTCTCTTTTCTTTCGTTCATTTATAACAGTACAGAAGAAGATTTGACTAAAATGACTAAAATGCCTATAAATAAAC